TTAGTATATAATTGTTCAAACTTATCTCCATTCAAGATAACTAGAAAAAATCTTAAACAGCAAGCGATAATTTCACTGACACCCTTTGAGGTTTGGCCAAATATTAGTCTCAAATATCTTTCGAAAATAACTATCACTTAGGTCCATTTTCGCACTTCCGTTATTGTTTCCGTTAAAAACATGAGAAAAGACATATTTGCCCCTAATTTTTTAATCACATTTATTCCAAAATATTAGATAATGTAAATGATTTCTATACCCTTACACACACTATTTCTCTCTCCTCTATCTCTGTATGAAGGGACGTTCTCTCTTCTCAAGGCACGCTTCTGTCTGTGTCTCTCTCCTCAAGGGACGCTTCGGTCTGTAACAACATACAGGGTATCACCAAGCTGGTGATTCAAAAGATTATGTGTGTATGTGCATATATATATATACAGACGCCCAACTTCTCTGCTCCCGAATTTCTAACTCCACCAGTTGCTCCTTGATCTCGCTATTTATGCCGGGCTTGCAACTGAGGCGATGGAGTGTGGATTATACACACACACACACACATATATATATATATACATGGAAGATTTGCTTTCTATTTGGGATCTGAACTTTCGTCTCAACGGTCTGAGCTTCACTTACCCACTCCTCTCTCTCACATCTCTCTCTCACACACAGCTTTACGCACAGGCATACCCACCACCTCCACTTTGTACAGTCAACGTCTCTCTCTCATCTCATCTTTGTATAATCGATTGATGATGGATAAGAGAAGATTGGCGACGGCCAATCGACAGCGACGAGAAATATTCAACGAAGGCTGACCACTGGTCAACGGCGATGGCTTGATTTGCATTGGCAACGGCTTGATTTATGTTGGCGATGACTTGATTTGTATGATTTTGGGGCTGATTTGTGTTGGCGAAATTGCATCGACACTGCGAACCCAGTATCAAAATAAATCTGCACCTAATCTCCTCTCTCGACCCAATCGGAATCGTCCCCCCCTCTCTCTCTCATAGAACCAGTTTCTTAGCTATGAACCAAGCCGGCACGTCGTGCGGCATCAATGTTGCTGCCGAGCAAGAATGTCGGTGTGGTTGTTTCACCGGAATGAACAGTGGTACTAGTGGTGGTGGCTGTAGGGGTGGGAATGGAGTGGGGGTGAGGATAGTGGTGATAATGCACAGGTTATGGTTACGGCCGAAATACACAGTGGTGGTTGTGGGTTTGGAGATGGAAGCGGTGGTTTAGGGTGAGGATGAAAAAAATGAAAATAAAAATCAAATATAATTATAAAATGACAGAAATAGACTTCAATTCACATGCTAAACAATAAAAAGCAGGGGCTTTTGTTGTCCAAAAAATATGAGGACAAGCCTACATATATATCTGAAATGATGGAATATATGAATGGGTGATTGATCATAGAACCGGACACTTGTAAATTTTTTCTCATTTTTCTCTTTCTCTTTTTAAATTTAATTAATTTCCTTAAAAAAAATAAAATTTTCTTACTTAAAATTTCATTAATTTCCTTAAAAAAATATAGAACCGAACACTTGTATGGCGTATAATAGCCCTCAATACCAAACTGTATTATGTTGATCACCTACTTTATTTATTCTTGTATATGGAAAAGGAAGGGTAAACATGTCATTTGAATAGTCAAACTAAAGTCATTTGAGGGTAAACATGTAGTTTTAATCATTAAAGAAACAAAGTTAGCGGGTCAAACCAAAGTCAAAGGGTAAGAATGTCTTTTTACATGTAAAAAGTGGTTTGCCACACCTGTTAACTAACTTTTGGGGTGTGAGTGTCAGTGAAATTATCCCAAGCAGCAAAAGTGTAGTTTCTATTGCTATTATGATGTTGTGCAACTGTTACCTCAGGAAAATTGCTCGTCACCGCTGCTGCTTCCAAGGTGTTTCTTTGTCTTATGATTGCCTCTACTGTGCTTATTTTTCCATAATAAAAGCTTCCTTCAGATATAATCTATAGCAATCATCTTAACAAATACATTGGTCATATGAATTTTATGGCAACCGTTTTTCTTAAATGCCTTTATCATATTAATGTGCTTTTTAACTATGATAGCTATATCGATTTTGCTGTAGTTTAGAAGAGTCTGATTTTATCTGTTCAACAGTGGAAGCTTCACATATTCGAGCTTGAGGAGGAGATGAAAATTGACCCACCCATTAAATATGTTGTTTATCAGGTATTCATGTCTATCGCATAATTTTTTATTTCTTTTTCAGCATGTGATGAATTTATGATCTATTTGTAAAACTTATTCAACTTGTAAAACCTCTCGAAGTCATTGTTTCTTGTAAAAAAACTAGTTCTATTTGTATGCAATTTTATTAATAATTTATTATCTTACATGAGGAAATAAAATGTAAATCATGAGAAGATAAACATGTGAAAAGGTACCAACGGGCCAGTGGCCTAACGGTATCAGCCTCTTATCTCCCAAAGGGAGGTCAGAGGTTCAAGACTCAGAAGAGACAAGTATGTGTGAGTACCAACTAGGAAAAAAAAAAAAAAAAAACATGTGAAAGGTATTGGCACTGGAGACCTTTGTATATAGTGCTCTGGTTCTTTGTTCTGGTAGAGAAAAGAAAATGCCAGGATATTTGAAGTTCGTTAGAATCCCTAATAAGATCGACAATATTTAGCCAACTTTCATAAATGATTTTGGGTTCTGAAGGAAAGTGGTGCAATAATGACATGGAAGCTGTAATTTTGTAGTTAATGTGGTTTCGATTGTCAACAAGATTATATTTATATTTATATATTTGTGAATTTCAACCTTTCCATGTAACCCTTCTTCAAATTTGTTTTATGTTATCACATTGTAATTGAAAGTGTTTGTTTGGAAAAAGTTTATCATGTTATTGTGTTGATTTAATCCTATATGTAGGATGACAGGAGCACACGCGTTCAAGCCGTGGCAATATCTCCTGATAAATTTGAAAGTCGCAAGCCTGTTCCTTGTAAGTGGCGAGGTTTGATGGATAATGAACTCTCGGAGGAGGCAGGGATCCCCGGTTGTGTTTTTGTCCATGCGAGTGGGTTCATTGGTGCAAATCAAAATTACGAGGGTTCATTGGCCATGGCAAGGGCTGGCTTGAAATCTCATTGAAATAGTTTGGGAAATGAAAACTGAAGAATGAATGGCGCGCATAGAAGAGTTGAATCCCATTGTCATCTCTCAATTGAGATATTTATCACAACATTGAGTTTGATGTACACTAGCTGCTAATAAATAGCTTTGTCAAATTTTGCATTCCACAGGTAGTAGTATCAAGAAGGAAGGTTGTTCTCAGAACTTCATTTAGCTACTCTTTTCCCACATAAAATTTTATTGGGGATTGAATGCTTTTTGGCTTGTTGATCATTTGCTCTAGTCCATCCCATATTTTTTTCCCATATAAATCAGAACAACAGAAATATATAAAAATACACAATGTTATTTTTGCTACATGTTCAGTGTCATCAGTTTTTGTGTAAATATTAGAATAATTATAATCACAGCCTTTTTAAGTGACATTGTTCGTCTCTGCTAGAATTTACATGTATGCTAAGGTTTTGCTAATTTTCCCAAGGCATGTGTTTTTGACTTTGAAAAAAAATGATTTGACAAAAGTAACCAGTTTAAAAAAGAAAAGAGAGAGAAAGAAAGAAATTTTGATTGTTAACTATTTCCTTTTTATTACTTTTCAAAAAATAAATATTTTTATATGTGTGTGTGTGTGTGTGTGTGTGTGTGTGTGTATTGAGGAAATGGATGGTCTTGAGCCGCGATTCTCTTTCATTTGGCCCCCAAAAAAAAAAAAAAAAAAAAAAAATTGTATTAGGATCTCTGTTGTTTAAGAAGTTGAGGTCACATCTTTATCCTAATGCTTTAAATATAATACAGAGAAGACATGAATTGGAGAAAACTGGGTCTATCTATGTGAGAGGAGACAAAGACAACTGATATTTACGAATGCAAGTGTCCCATGTGCCATTACTGTCCCATAATGGAATTCTTTTCACCACCTTGCCCCTAATAATCAATACAAGTGCTTCTATATCCTTCTTCTCTGCTTTTACATATCACTAGGACCCCATCTCAAGACCAATCTCTAAATTCAATCTCATCCGGTTCATCTTCACATCTATTTATGGGCCATGAACATCAACAAGAGTAGATTAAGTAGCCAGCTTCTTCTTCTTTTCTTTTCTCTCTTTTTCCTTTTTTTTTTTTTTTGGTATAAAAAAAATCATTCTTGGCGGCATTGATTTCTTCTGTAGTTTGCAAATGTCAATTGTCGGACCAGGCGTTTTTCACATTCTCTAAAGATTATACTAAATGCTTATGAGAAAAAGGGAGTCATAACACTTATTATGAATAGGGCGGATTAGTGTTTATTAGAGTCGTCACTTAGCATTGATTTGAGAAGAGAAAGTAGCCAGCAGCTGCTGCTTCTTTTCTTATTATTATTATTTTAGTATCAAAGGGGGTTTTCACCTCCTCTAAAGTTTATACTAAATGCTTATAAGAAAAAGGGAGTAAACAGTTATTATGAAAGGGCGGATGAATGTTTATTTAGAGTCATCACCTAACATTGAGTTGAGGTGTGTCAGGTCACTTATCTATGTCTAAAACTTGTGAGCATATTTAACTATTTTGACACCTGACAAGTTTAATATGATCCTAAATACGTTTAACTACCATTTAGCCTTTGTAAAACAGATTTAATGAATTCACATAGAACTACAAAATATGTACATGATTCAAGTGTAGACCTCACATTTGGTAATTCTCAAACCATTGACATAAGAAAAATATATCTCATAGGCCTTACTAATTAAAGAGTTAATAATATCACTATCTAATTCACAACTTCTTACAGGGAAGAGGGGCATTGGGGTAATTTTGACTAGAGCCTGTCCACTTCCTTCCGCCAATCTGTATACAGACAGACTCTCCAATAAGGCAATAATAATAATATTTCCACCTCCCCCAAGTTCTGATTCTCACCTAGATTTGAGAGAGAGAGAGAGAGAGATGGGTAGTCTTAGAAATCCAAAATACAAGAAGGTGTTGTATGGTTTTCAGTTTTTTTTGTTGTTAATTCAAACAAAAGCAGCTTTGTGTTACCAATACAAGGTTGGAGATTTAGATGCTTGGGGCATACCCACTCGAGCAAATCCACACATCTACACCAAATGGTCCAAATACCACAACTTCAAGATTGGAGACTCCCTCTGTAAGTTTCTCACATTATTACCTTCCAAAACTCCTCTAATAAAAGTACTACTGTGTGTCACTGTGTGTGTTAATCATAGTCTATATATATATGCAGTGTTCCTATACCCACCAAGTCAAGATTCAGTTATTCAAGTGACAGAGCAATCATTCAATACCTGCAATCTCACAGATCCAATCTTGTACATGAACAATGGCAACTCCCTCTTCAACATCACCTCACCTGGTGACTTGTACTTCAGCAGTGGAGCAGCAGGGAGCTGTCAAAAGTCACAGAAGCTCCAAATCTCTGTGCTTTCTGGAAATGGCTCATCATCATCTGCATTCTCACCCTCCTATGGTCCCACAGCTTCTTCACCATCTTACCCAACCGTGTTCGGTTCCATTCCGGCGCCGCCTTCATCTTCGTCCTTGTTAAATGTTCCCGTCTTCATGTCAGCAGCCATTGGTTTTCTCCTGGTATGCTAATTGGTTTTCACTTGTGAGTGGCAGGCAGGCAGCATATGAATGAAAGATTACATCGTTTCATAAATCAGAGGCAAAAAGACAGACCATTGAAAGCCTCTAGAGATCCAATTTATATTGATTTATTTCTTCATATATACACACTTCAAATGCCATTACTTTCCTTCTTTCACTAGTTGATTTATAAACTTTTCTCATATTCTGGATCATAATCTAATTCTTTCACCTATTTTTAATAATAAAATGTTGTAATTTCAGACTCGTATGGAACATTGCTTCTTTAAAATCAATGCTTTTTTTTCAATTTCTCTATCACACACACACACATTCACAAAACCCTACCATTCATATGTTATTCGAACCTAATGCCATAGAAATCATAGATAATCCATATCACCTTTACCATAAAAAGATGTCCACACACGATCAAATTGTTTGTTTCGTGTACACCCTCTTCCATTATTGCTTTATTTTATTTTTCTTAAAAAAAAAAAAAAAAAACATGCATAATCAGTTTCCATGACAAAGAGACAAACTACTCTGGGTAATTACAAGATGCAACATTACGAATACGAAATATTAAATTATACTGGTTCCAGGGCCATCCAGCATTTTTTATTTATATAAATTAATTGTAATTTTGCTGGCTCAATCCCAAATTTTTCATGAGTAACTCTGCTTTATTTGTTACAGTTATTTCATCCACATTAAAATTACAACTGTTAAATGCTCCGTGATCCATATTACTACACTCATCAGTCACCAATAATTTCTATCAAAAGCAAACTTAATTAAGGATTACCACAAACAAACAGCCAAAAAACACAGGATTCCTCTTGGCTAAACAACCTAAACTGTTACAACCATACTCTTATATCGATAATTTAGAGTAAATTACTGGGTAACACTCGTTGCAACGATTACATTTGTGCATAAAACAGAGTTTGGTTAATTAGCCGGCCATATGAATCTGTTCCCTGTGGTGCCGAGGCCTCTGCAAACTGCTGCTATTGCCTTAGGCTTTAGAATACTAGGTAACAATCATCCTAATGGTTACAATTTGGGTAGATAACGGAGTTCGGTTAGTCAACCAGCCATCTCAACGTCAGGGTTGGTTGCCTTCCCTTCAGAAACATAAGCTGCCTGTGGGGCTGGGGCCTCTGCGAACTGTGGTGCAGGCTTTGAATCACTTCCCGCAAAAGGACTCCTCATTTGAGCAGCAGTGGAGTCTACTTCCATTGCAGAAGCTCTTGGAGGAGATGCCGGCTGCACCTCTACATCTGGGTAAGCCGCTTTAAACCTAGCCCTAAGTCCTTCATCCACTAACCGTGCTCCACTCAATTGGTTACCGAGTGATATCCATCTGAATAAGCAATACATCAGAGAAACCAAAAAAACTAGATCATGTTTAAGAAGCTAAAAGAAGCCAAAAGATAGGCAGACATCACACCAGGATTCTACCATGTTAAATCAGAGCAAAGATCACAAGTAAACAAGTCTGATTTTCTCAAGCCAATACCAGAATTCAAGGAAATAAAGCATTGATTCTCTTAGGAGAAAATTATATTTCCTGGAAATCTAATGACGAGGCAGAACTCCCAGGAATGACCATGGTGATCAAATCGATAAACTATGAGGAATAATTCTCATGAAAGTATTAACTTGAATTTGAGGAAATTTTCACCACTAAATTAGGGAATATATATGCAAACAAAAATAAAAATACTGACTTATAAGGGATTGATATAGGGTTCATTTGTTTCAGATCAAAGATTGAAAATGAAATGAGAGTGATGTTGCAATAGGTATACCTTAATGCTATTATTATCTCATTAACACTGTCACAAACAAATTCTTATTCTACTTGTTTCAATCCCTATCAATCTATTAGAGTATCATCATTTGTGAAACCCAGACCGTAGATAGCACAGAATAAATCAAGATCTAAGCCATGGTTGATAGATCAAAGCAACTGTTTCCTGTACCAAGGAAACATTTAGCTAATCCCAATCGTCACAAATACTCCAAATCATTCAGGCAGTTCAGACATAAATTGAGCTAGATTATGCGAAGCACCGATACTTTTATAAGGAGGACATATCTGTTTAAGATACCAACCCACCTTGAGTTCTCACAAATACGTGCCTAATCCTAAATGTATTCATAATTTGAAAATAATATTTTTAATATTTAACACACCTGATTTTTCTCAGGCACTTTAGGATAAATTTAATGAGTCTTCAACATTAAATGTTGATATATTACGAAAATATCACTAATTTAGTCCATTTATTCCATGCAATATAACCCTGAACTTGCTTGTCATAATTTTTTTTTTTAGAGGAAAATGTTAGTAAACATATATATAGCATGATGAACAATTAATATTTTAAATTTTTAGATAGATACATATATAAATATTTTAATTTATACATATCTACATTAATATAATATGTATACAAATATTGTTGTGTCCTTGCTTAATCTGTATCCAACTTTTTAAGAATTTGTCGTATCTCCGTATCTATAGTGTCATGTCCGTATCCCGTCTCCGTGTCCATGCTTCATAGATGCTATCTGATTGTTCCAGCTCAGGTTCTTAATGGTGCAGGAGATCTAGACAGTCCTAAATCATTAATCCTTTCAAAATGCCACTAGTACCTTCATCTCGTTCCATTTAATCTCAAATTTTCATTGTAAGATCTCAAAATAAAAGATTAAGAAAGCATACCCTGCATGAGTGTTATGCATGCGAGCAAACAATTCCAGCTTTCTCGTCCTTGGACTTATCCTCTCCAGCATTGGGTACATCTGCAAGGTGGCATGCAAATTAAGAGACAAGTTTAATTCAGGAAAGCCTACAATGATAATATTCCAGTGACACATGGCAAAAATAATAACTAATAAGACAATAATTATAATGAAACCATCTTGCAGAAGCGATCAATTCAGTTTAGCCATCAGATATAGAAACAAGAAAAGGTGTAGCCATCCAAATGTAATAATCTACGTTACAGCAAGAACCACGATGAAGCGGAGACAGATAAACGAGTGAAGATTTAAGGAAACACTGAGCAATTAGCCATTATGAAATTAGAGTCTGCTAACCTCATCTGGCTTACGGCTTGTTTCTCGAACCTCCGCTACAATGACATCAGTATCAATATTCCTGTTCACTTCTGGATTTCCCTTCATTCCAACAAGGCAATGTTCCTTACTGTGGTTGAGCCAATGACCAGTTCGCCCCGTTCTGATTATGCGCTGAAGTTGATTGGTCTTCACCCAAATAATCTCCTCAACGCGTTTGTATCCCCAAAGTTCTAAACTGCAAGAAGTATATTAAACTGCATATGAGCGTCCCATAGTGAAGTATATTGTAACATGCTAAGCAAGGGGCAGTATTGTTTTATTTCTTACAGATCCTCTCAATTTGCACTGAAAGACATTCAAGGATGTTACTAAAAGCAGGTAATTGACCAAGCATTTTGTTAAATAGTAAAAAATGCAGGACACATGCATATTGACCCTAAAATTGTGCCGAAATTACTACTTACTAGCAAAACTATTTTCGATGGTAAGATAAAATGTTTAGAATGAGACTAGCTTTAGTGTATGGTGTTCATTATCGAAGCTCAAATCTCTCGACAACATATTGAATACAACTACTTGAGAGGAGTCGAAATACAAATTTTAACCACCGAAAAATTCCACTCAAAAAGAAAGTTCATTGTATAGTGTGCTTCATGAAGGTCTGTATGAGAATGACTATGGTAAAGAATATTAGAAAAATAATTGATGCCACAAATATTCTTTCTGGGACAACCCGCCACCCCCCCTTTTCGCTTCTCTTCTCTCCCGACATATACACACGCAGAACCCTCCTCTTCTCTCCCAATACACACACACAACTTGAAAAAAAAAAAACACATTAAGCATAGTTATTCAAAAGATAATGATTTAGGTATGTAGAACAAGTGAGCATGCAGCCACTGGATTCAAGAAACATGAGGTTTCTTCCTTTAGATAACTTGTGTAAAGTATGCATAATTCCACATTAGAAACTCCAACGATTCACTTAGGGGAAGTTTGGCAACTGTTTTTTAGTGTTTTTTGTTGCAGATATGGTGAAAAACATAAACAAGTAACAAAAGCATGCTTGACAACGATCTTTACGTTTCGCACAATACTGCATCTGGGAAGCAAAAAAAGTTGCTTCCACTTGTTTTTGACACTATAGCGGAATAACTGTTACAAGAATTTTTTCAAAAAGCCAACATGGTGTAAATACCATATTTTCTTATAAGCTTCCAACATTTTTTATTTTTATTTATTTATTATGTTTTGAATGATTGTGCAACAAATGTAAGTTGCCAAACATGTTTTCGTTCCAAAATGAATCACAACACAACAGAAACACTACTTCTATTTTATATAAAATTGAAAATGCAAAAGAGAAGCAGCTGCCAAACGACCCCTTAAAGAGAATTGTCATACCGATGTGCGAAAAAAAGAATCATCTCTACCAATCAAATGACTTTGTTCCAATTGATGGGGATCATCCAATGCCCCTATTGGTCAACGATTGTCTCAGGCAAAATTAATTATTGTCGTATTGAGCATCACAAGCATAAACAGTCAAATATTACTGAAATGTCTTTGGGGCACAGCAAAATATTAGCATCATGTATATTTTATTGCATTAATTCGCCGCATGTCCTATATTACTGACATGTTAAATGTAAGAGCCCTTAAAAAAATATAAATAAGATAAAAATGTTAAAATATAGATGTAACCAATTTAAACATGGGTCTATGGTTGGGCTAGTATAAAAAAAAGACATCAGGTTAATAAACTTGTAATTAGGGTTGATCCTAAACTCCCGCACCCAAAAAAAAAAAAAAAAAAAACTGATAACAGATTAGATAAATATTTAAATTTAAATTGTGATGCAAGTAGATGGTTTAGGATAACTTTTAGAATAAAAATAATCGTTAAAAGGGATATTCATAACACACCACTTTACTAGTTATTCAAAAAAACACAGAGGGTTAAAAAGCGATTTTGTAGCAAATAGGAAGCGGATGGGAGAAGAGCAAAAAAAGAAAGAAAAGAACAAAAATGATCAAGAACTTCTACCAACGCCTGAAGAGAATCAAGCCTAAAGTAGATGATGCGTTAGTAGTGATAAATCAGGCAAGTGAAAGCTTTTATATAACTCAATACATTATTGTATGTATGTTGATTCCATATTCCTTCTGGTCTAATTAGAAGAAAAATTATTGATATTAATTACAATAGACAATGGACACACACACACATGTAATTATATAACAATAATATTATGGTAGAAATACAACTATTATCTCTTAACTGTGTGAGATTAGGGTTTCCAAGTTAAATTATTATTATTTTTTGATACAGAATACTATTTTCCTAAATGGTTGAGAACTCAGGAATATTCCATATATATTAATCTATACGTGTGATCAATTAAATCTTGAATATAGATAGGCGTATAGATGAATAATCATTTTCAAAAGAATAGCTCTAGGAAACATATATAGATATATATGGGTGTTTGTGCTAATGTAAAACTCTAAAATATTAAGACGTGGAACACTGAGATAAGAGAAAATGTGTAATAAATTACCTAAAATTGAAAAAAAAAAAGAAAAAAAGAAACAATAATTTAAGTATTCTAGTGATTATTCAATTACTAGAATGTTTAGGTGTGAAACATGATGTGTACCATCTTTGGGATTCAGTGGGTCATGCCAAAGTCCACGTTGACCTTGATTGATGCTTGGGATGGACACTGAGTGCGGCCCCGAGTTGGAGATCTGTGGGACAGCCCCCCTCTGTCTGTAGTGGGTCCTATGGGAGAAGGAAATAGGAGACCCTTTGATGGGGTGGAGTCTCCTGGGGAGATGTTTAGATATTTTATTCTCAGTTCTCTATTCTTTGGATTTGGGGGTTAATTGTAAATCTTTGGAGATTCTTTTGTCTGTTGTGGATAGCTTAAGGCTATAGTTTTTTTGCAATTGTTCTGGGTCGCATCCCCTTTTGGGTGCTCTTCAATGAATACTTAAAAATAAATAAATAAAAGAGAGACATGGATAATTCGCAAAGTGAAAAACATGAAAATAAGGTAATGGTTGAGACTTGAGACGGTCTTGCATATGAGATTTTGGGATGGTTGCATACAGTTAGGCCTCTCGATTGGATTTCGATCCGAATCTGGTTCGAATTGGATTCAATATAGATAATCCATCGGACTATTGAATCAGATTCAGATCTGAGCACAACTATTCCTTACTGGATTTTGATTGGATCAGACCACGTCCGGTCTGAACCCATTACCATTAACAGTTCTACATACGGTTCCACGCATGAGATTTATGGATGGTTAGAGTATGATCCTCTTTATGAGAATTTGGGATGGTTGCATATGATTCCACACATGAGATTTATGGACAGTTAAGTACAGTCTTATTTATGAGATTTGGGATGGTTGTGAACAACCTCACAAATGAGATTAGGTACAGTTGAGTACGGTCCAGTATATGAGATTTTGGAATGATTGTATATGATCCCACACTTGAGACATGATGATGGCTGAGTATGATCCCACGTGTTATTAAATGCATGCCATATATGAGGTTGAGTTGTCAAATCTAAGATATGAAAGAACCATACATGCAAATATTGTATTAAGAAATAATGAAAAATAGTTAATCAAGAAGATTAACATGATCATGACAGAAACTGAATAATAATTTTTCATAATATGGTTAGTCCATTCATGTTCCCATTGGTAGTACTGATTGGAGTAGTATCATAATTATAATCATACATTTGAATGTTGATGTATGGTAAGGAGATGAACTTGTTGAGTCGTGAGCTCACTTTTTTATTTATAATTCTTATTGGTTGCTAGTAAAATGGCGGTGAGGGCTGAAACCTATAGAGATGTGAACGAATCTGTTATTTGCATTGAGTCATTATGCATTGGGGATCAGATGTAAATTTAAAGTTGAGATACTTGGTAATGGATGTATATTTTTGTCATCTAACTAAAGAGATATTGATGGATTGGATTAATTAGAGTTATGATATTGTTGTTCAATTAATGCATGGGAATATCATTTTGCAGTTAGCGTACATTATTTGGTTATGAAACAAGATGTTCCCATATTCAATTTAAGGGGAGTGAAATTAAAACCATCCAAAAAAAAAAAAAAATGGTTTAATCAACATTATGACTGTAAATCCAAAGATAAAGCACATACCATTCTCGTCCAAGCTCCATTGCTCGTCCAGTTACCCAAAGAAATATCAGGCCATCAGTCTGCAATGCAGGAACATTAAGACTGCGCATCTCATCATCAGCCATCGTCCCGTAAGGCAATTCCATATGAATGTCCCATGGTGGATCTGCCATTATAACTCCAAATTGCCCTAAAATGTCCATTCTAAAATTACGGATATCACAGTTGATCCATTGCGGTTCACCAAGCTCTACTTCTGAACAATAATGAGCACGTTGAGGCTTTAGAGGTTTGGGGGGAGGAAGATTAGCAGCCCCTATCATCATAGGTGGCACATCTGGTGTTGGGTCAAGCTCGTAATGGACATACTTGCATGTCTATCATTGATAACAATAATACGTTAAATTTCAAGCTAATATAATTACAAGCAATTAATATAACTTTCCAGGTAAAAGTATAATTTACCTTCATGTGACGGCACGTGTCCAAAAAAGAGCAATCCCCCAAATTGACATCAGTATGAGGAGCAATTATACGTCGAAAATGAACCTAAAAGCATTGAAAGATTCAGTCATAAAATCAAATCTAGCTCGAGCAGTGATTAGCTAATGTTGTTACTTCATCCCAATTTTCTTTACAGATTCCAATTGAGTTCACTATAACTGACCTTAATGATGAAAATATTTTAGTTCACAAATTGAAATAAAATATCACAAGAAGGGTATCAATAAAAATAACAAAAAAAGAAGAAGAGTTAATCAATTTGGTCACTTTAAGATACTAGACATTGAAATTACTTCAACCCATTATGTGAATGTTTGACTATTCGTAGTGCATCGCCCAAAGCTTAGCCTTGATGCATTATGCAAATAACAAACAAGGTCTTTAGAAGTATCAACCATGTAACGATGCTAAATTAAAATTTAGATCAAGTCCACTGAGCAGTGGTGACTTTTTTTTTTTTTTTTTTCCTTTTTCTCTTTGGTGCTGACAAATAACTAACACACCCGCTTTGCTTCTATGGGAATTTGAACCCATAATCTTCCACTTTGGGAGGTAGAGAAGGTACCCATGAGCTATAACTCTTGGTGCAGTGGTGACTTTATACATGTTATCTTGTTCTAATAAACAACCCAGCATAATACTCCTTACTGACCTTCTCACATGCAATATAGGAACCAGTTTGACGTCGGCAATCTTCTTTTGTCAAGGCTGAACAGTACTCCTTTAGTTGAGAGCCACCTTTGGTTTTGAACTGAAACAAGATCACCAACTCAAACATAAATAAATATGATTAAAAAGGGTAAAATATGAATTCTTGCATGAAATATATTTTTCATGAATTTCTAGTTCTATAAGACCCTAGGGGTCACACAGATTAGATAAATGAAATGCTCAAGCATAAAGGAAGAGAAGGGCATAAACCGCGCCATGTGTCTAATATAATGGATGACAAAGAAAAGGGAAGGAACTCCTGTCAAATTTCCTTTCCCTTGTTTAAAACAGGTTGAAATGTTTTTATTAGAAAGGCTGAAAGCTCCATAGAGTGCTGATTTCCGCCTAAAAGATAAGAAAGATATTTGGACAGAAAGCACTTCTATATTTATAATGTCCACCATTCGGTCCTTGTTTCTTCATGACATTCAAAGACAACAACAAAATATACCCCCTTTACTTATATTTACAAAACGAACAAGAAAAGGACACGTCTCTATTCTATACATTATTTTTTCTTGTCTAATGTCCGCTCCCCTCAATTCTTACTCTCAAAGAATGGCAATTCAAACCAGAAGTCAAGAAAGCAAACTAATTGGGTCTCTTCCAGGTTAGTGGGAAGTTGGGATTCCGTGATTGACAAGTATGCGAAGAGATTGGCAGGTTGGAAGAAGCAATATTTGTCAAAAGGGGGTAAAGTTACTCTTATCAAGAGTACGTTATCGAGCCTTCCCACTTATTTTCTTTCTATGTTCAAAATCCCTTGTTCTGTAGTAGATAGGATTGAAAAAATTCAAAGGGATTTCCTTTGGGGAGGAAAGGGTGATGAGTTCAAGTACCACCTTGTCAGATGGGAGGAAGTTTGTAAGCCCGTGAAATTGGGTGGACTTGGAATAAGACGTTTAGTTCCTTTCAATCAAGCTCTCCTGGGTAAATGGTTATGGAGATATGGGAGGGAAGGACATCGTCCATGGCGTAGGTTAGTTTCTTGTCGGTATGGGGAAGAGGCTGGAGGTTGGTCTACACGTCCGGTTACCTTGGTGGGAGGAGTAGGGATGTGGAAGGCTATTCGAAAGAGATGGGATGTTTTCTCAGCTCATGTCAGATCCAAACTCCGTGATGGTCGTTGCATTCGGTTTTGGGAAAATCTCTGGTGTGGGGATCAGCCACTTTCTCGTACATTTCCAAGATTATTTAGTATTGCTGTTGATAAACAAGCCTACGTAATTGATTGTTATCAGCTTGATAGCAGTGGGATTGTGTGGGATGTGCATTTTCGGCGCTCTTTTCAAGATTGGGAGATGGACAAGGTATGTGTTTTTTTGGATCTTCTGTATCGGCAAGAGGGCGTTGGCAGAGGTAATGATGTTTTAATTTGGGCTCCTTCTTCCCATGGTCGCTTTGAAGTTAGATCCTTGTTTTAAGTTTGTCAAATTTTGTTAATCGAGACTTCTCGTGGAAAATTATTTGGCGGTCTATGGCTCCAACTAGGGTGGCTTTCTTTGTTTGGACTGCTGTGTGGGGAAAGATTCTGACAATTGATAATTTGAGAAAAAGGGACAATTGTATCGTTAATCGTTGTTGTCTATGCAAGGATTATGAGAAGTCCGTTGATCACCTCCTTTTGCATTGCCCTGTGGCGAATGATTGTTAGAATCTTATTGTTGGATTGTTTGGTATGTGTTGGGTTATGCCACAATCTACTAAAGAGTTAATTCATGTTTGGACAGGTTGTCGAGTGAGAAGAGATATTCGCGATTTTTTGAGAATTGTACCACATTGTGTATGGTGGTGCATTTGGAAGGAGTAAAATAGTAGAATGTTCGAAGGGAAAGAGTCGTCCACGGTAATGGTCAAACTTTACATTCTTCGTTTTCTTTTCAATTATGTCAAGAGGAGCTTTTGTTCTTTTTCTGATGATTTAATAACTTTCTTGGATTTTTTGGGACCTTAATCCAACGCGTTCCCCTTTTGAATGCCTTTATTTATGCTATTTTTACTTATCCAAAAAAAAAAAAATAATGCCTTAAGTTGCCTATTCAATATCAATATTCCAAGCAACCCCTAAATCACTTTTATTGAGTACAGTTTTTCAATCACTTGCCCAAAAAATAAAAATAAAAAAGATTAAATCATCTCAAAATTTTTTAATTTATTAAGATGACATTACAAACAAAAGAATGCATTATTGTAATGGAGTATCTAATCCAAGTCAATGAATCCACCAAGGTGGTTTCACAAAGCAAAGGCATGTATAGTTGCAAATAAATAAATAGATAAATAAAGCTTTCAATCACCTTTGCAGCCACAGCAGTTTCCTTAGCAGTGGGACGGTGAATGAGGTCCAAAAGCTCCTCTCCAGTTTTGGATTTCTGCATCTCCCTGAAAGTCTTCTTATTCAACAAAGCCTCCAGATCCTTCATGTCTTCTTCTTCAGTCCTAGGCCTCAAAGGGATTGCATTTGAAACACCACTTGGTGCATTTGGCCCGAATTGAGGTCTATGCATTGGTGGAACACCCATCCCTCTGGGCATTGCCATCATGCCCATCACACCTCTTGGACCGCCCCTCGGCCCCATCATTGGACCTGGCGCAGTCCCCGGAAACATAGGAGGCAACCCTGATAAATGCGGCTCTGCTGGTGCCATCCACATATCCGGCATTGGCCTAGGCATTGGACTTCCCATTCCAAAAACTCCACCATTAACATCACCTCCGCTAGTTGACCCTTGCTGAATTTGGTTTCCTTCATTTAAATTTGATTCACTCTGCTGATACTGCTTACTCTCCGGCAACTCCTTTACTAGCCGAGACCGGTCAATTCCCATAACCATAACCCTGGACTTCTCACTCACTACAAACTCCTCCAAGTCAACGCCCCCATTATCCTCCGCCATCGACCTCAAAGCCATCTCCACCGCCAGTATAGCACCCGACTCCCCTCCCACCTCCCTCAATGCCTCCTTCTCTGCGGCCGTCGCTGACTGATCATTCTCCAGCTTCCTCAACACCGTAGACGAATCAATGGGCGAAAAGGGCACCCTTTCTAACAAACAAACAGCAACCATCGACCTAATCACCGATAACGGACTACCACTCTCATCAAGCGTAAACTTTTCACTATCTGATCGACGACTCGAAACTTCAGGAGATGGTTTGGGTTGCTGATTCTTGGAATTGGTGGATTTGTGGTCGGAAGAGCGAGGGATTGAGCGGTTTTCAGGCGTGTGTGGAATGTTTTCCAGAGGTGATGGTGGTGGGCGTTTAGAGTTGCGGTTAGGGTTAGGGTTTGGAAGAGGGTTAGGGTTTGGAAGAGGTGTAGGTAGAGGACTGAAAGGACGGCCATTGAAGGCAGAGACAACTTTGAGAGAGAGATCGAGAGAGGAGACTATATCGGGAACTAGGGTTTGCAGCGAAGCTATGATGTCTAGCTGAGCATTGTGTAGGGTCTCCACGCGGGTTTCGAGCCTTTGGCGCACGTATTTGATACCGGACGCGTCTTCGTTACCATCTGCTTGACTCTCCATCTCTCTCTCCACTTCTGTGACTCCCTATCAACTTGTCTGGTTTTATGCCACTGGAAATCGAAAACCGTAAAGCAAGAGGACACGAGACGTAAGAATCACCATTGGACCCAAGGCCCAGACCTAGTCCACAGAGCGGGCCAACTCAGCTCGGCCCACTATCCTCCAGGACAGGCCTGACCATAGGTCTCGGCCTGCAAAGCCCAATGGGTGGTTCAACAATTTTCAAAATAATGATTTTTAGCAAAAGTAAAAGATTGGTACCGTACAGAGAATGTTCCTTCATCTGGGATCTGGGTTACAAACTTTGTTCTTTCAACGCTGTGAATTTCAATTTCAAATTTATACAATGAATATATATATATATATATATATATATATATTATATACTTATTGTATAAATCACTAAAAGTACTTCCCCATTTTGATCATTATAATTGTGTTTTGTTAAACCGTGTGAGATTTGTTTAATTGGATTTTTTAAAATAAATAAATAAATAAAAAATCATCGAGATAGTAATGATATATTTGCCAAAGTGAAATCAAAGTATTCAAAAAATATTTTTAAAATCAAAAATATTGAAAATTCGAAACAATTACTAAAGTAAAAATTATTTCTTTCTCATATTAGTTTTCCATATATTTATTTAGATTGCACTTTTCTCATTTTTGGAAAATATTATTTCAAGATACATACACATACTAAAATTAACTATTATCATTCATAACAAAATTAAATTTTAATTACATCATAATACAAGTTGGGAGTGATATGATTGATTTTTTATAAAAGTAATGAAAATTTTAAATATTTTTCTTAGTAGAGAGCATCATATGATTAATTTTGAAAAGTATGGGGGGTTATATGATTTTAACTATGAAGGTCAATTTTGTCTTTTCACACGTTAATTAGCAGCTTGGTCACGCAACATAGGAAGAATTAAAATTTAATTACACTCGAATTTCAAAACTTATCCAACACAGTGAATTTGGAATTAGATTAATGGATTGAAATACCATAAAATTTCAATCCCAATACAATTCTAATTTAGCACAACCAAACATAGCCTAATAGACATTGAAAAACTAAAATTAAATAGAGAATAATTAATAAATGAATAATGTGAAATTGACTTGAATGTATTTGCTGATTAGTTTTACCTTTGGCATTGTTTATTTGGCATGTGTTTCAAATTATCAAATACCCCGCAGATAAGAGCTCAAAATATATTCAGAAAAGTTTAAATAACTTGAAAAATGCGTGCTAAATGCACAATGGTGTCGTGGTGTAGTTGGTTATCACGTCAGTCTAACACACTGAAGGTCTCCGGTTCGAACCCGGGCGACGCCATTTACAAAGCCTACATATTTTTTTTTTTTGTTTTTGGGCACTGAATTGTTTCTTTCCATGTTGACAAATTCAATATATATATATATATATGGGTATGTTGATAATTGTAGGGATTTTTTGTTTCACATAAAATATTTGCTAACTAATTTCTGATGGATATATGAAGAACAATCCTAGAAAAAAAGGTTACAAATATGGGATCTCTTACTTGCATTCATAGCCATTCACAAGTGGCGTACTTGTATGAGACGTTTGGCCAGCTCTTTCTTTCACCTTCATCTGTTCGTTATTCCACCTAAAAGAAAAGGGAAAAAAAAATGTATACAGTTTTTGTTTTTTGAAATTATTCCAAAAAAAAACATATTACAGACAACATTAGACTCCGGTTATTGTATTTACAACCTGGTGTCAAATGTGATCTCCCTAAGACTAAAACACCCGAAAACCTGACCATGTGGCACTGCTGCAGATGTATAAAAAGACACACACACACACACACACACACACACACACACACACACAGAGTAAAGGAATAACAGTGGTCTGAGAAACCATACATAACCACTCAGCAAATCAATGGCACATATTTGATAAATTAAATGAACTTAATCCCATTGTAGAATAGATGAATAACATAGAGCAGCATTTTTCAGGAAAAGTATTGGGTGTATTTATTTTTAACCCCATTTTCCAGTCCACCCATTTCATCACTTGAATCTGCAGTGAAGAAGATCAAACAACCGCATGTAGACCCAGGCGTTGCATCATCATCATATATAGCTAAAACCAGGCCGAAACAGAAGCCAGTTGAAACAACAAATTATCCTATTATAACTTCTTCCTACTTGGTTAAATATATGACCCAGAAAAGTTGCTCTCATGAGTTCAGCTCCACAAAAAGGCTGGCCTGAGGATGTAGGCCCGCTTCTTTCAGGGACATACACTGCTTCTCTGCTCCATACACAACACGAGGGAAGTTGGACACAAGGTTGTAGCTCTCCACTTCTAAGCAACCCAATGAATCAACATAGTCATACAGTGACTGAATTGTCGTGGTACTATGGAACCTCCTTCCCTTGCGTTCTCCACTTGGGAACCGAACCAAAACCTATTCATCCACCAAAATCACAAACATGATTGACAACAATTAATATTTATATTCCAGAAAGGGGATAAAAGAGAATGTTGTCAGTTTCAAGATTACGTTATTCATGCTGGTGCAGTTTTTTAAAACTAATTAATTGTATCCAGAAAGTAAACTGCTGCTGTATTACTTTATGTGCCACCAGAAATCACAAATTATATTAAACCATGTCTGATGATGAATGAAATAAATAAGTGGCTATGCGATTTATTTAAAATATATTGACTGCATTGTGAAGGAAAAGAAGTTTGGTACAAACAGTAGGGGATTACTTGAGTTACGTCAGGTCCTTTTTCAGGTTCATCACCCAGCGAAAGGGCTTTCTCTTGTCGCATTCGAGCTAAAGCAGCTTCTTTCTCAGCAGCTTCACGTGCTGCTCTTTCACGAGCCTCTTCTTCCTCCTTTTGCTTCCTCTCAGCTTCAGCAGCTTCCCTTTCCATCCGTTCTTGCTCTTCTTTCCTCTGGCGTTCCCTAGCCTAATGTGCCAGACAATGAAGGCATCTTAGCTGACCCTGGACTAACCTAGCAAATCATATAAAGCGATACCAGAAGCTATAAAGTAACATACTTGATCAGCTTCAAGTGCTGCTCGATAAGCAGCATCTTGCTCCTCCCTCAGACGCATGTTGTTTCTTCGTTCTTCTGCATCAAGCCTTGCTGCAACAAGAACTGGAGCACTCTCTTCAAGCACTCTCTGCAATACTGTGAGCATTTCTTCGGGAGATTTTGGACCCTCAACCTACAAGATGATAAGAATAAGGACATAAACAGAAAACAAACATTTGGCTTTCAAGATAGTAGCTGAAAACCAAACAAATTAAATGAAGCAAGTTTGTCGTCCCATGACTACATTATGAACACGCAGACATAAACAGCAGAAAAAAAAAAAAAAATCAGATTTCAAGATAGTAGCTGATACCCGAACACATTAAATAAAGCAAGTTTGTTGTCACACAACTGCATTATGGGAAATAAAAGAAAGAAACAACAACAAAAAAATTTGGCTTTCAAGATGATAGCTGATATAACCAAACAAATTAAATAAAAAAATAAAAAAATAAAAAAAAGCTCCCAGATGACCAGCCTATCCCACTTATCCCAACAATAAAAAAATAAAAATAAAAAGGAAGAAGAAGGATCTCCAGCCCATTCTCATTATCTCATGAAAAATGTGACAATTATGAAGGACCAGAATGCCAAACTGAAGTACGACTAGAAAGGAAACAGATGATGAGAATACAGAAGAAGAGATGAGGCTATAAGAAGGGGGGAGAGATCAAAAGAGAGTGAATATATACACTGGAGAGATGGAGGGGTTGAGGAAGGCAATAACAAAGAGAGGAAGAAGAACGAAAGAGAAATTTGAAGGAAACGATGATCAATAATCCCAAAAATTGAATTGTTGGAGTACATAAAAGCCTTTATATAGGAAAACATAAATGAACCCTAAGAAGCCCTAAAAATAGCAAAATAACCCTAAAACCAAACATTACCAAAAATAATAATGAACATAAATATGTAAACTTAATTTGCAAAAATTTCTAATTCTATGAATCTTTTCCACATTTCCAATAGCAGGAGCAAGTCATATGTGGCTCAAGCTAAAGCTCTTGGGACGTGTCTGCGTCTCCATCAGACAATCTCTTCATTCAATCTCAAAATTTTCAACTATAAAGAATCTCTATGCACCAAAAAGACACCTCACGAATAACCCTTAAACAAAATTATATAATTGAGAGAGAGAGAGAGAGAGGAGCAAAAAACATTACGAGGTATTAGGAAAAAGCTATCAAGATGTATACAAGAAGAATAAAGAAATGTATGCACCACTTCAACCAAGCCATTTGTATCAAATACAAAAGCAGACTCAAGTTTACAAACAAACTCTAGCAACTCTATCATGATTTCAGAACCCTGACAGAAATAATCTGTAAATTTTCAACACATAACACACAAAATAAGAGGGAGACTATTATAGAGTACTTAATATCTGATCCACCCTTGAATATTACTAGATGAAGTGCAGCCCCTCAAATTTATATGGAGTGTAGTGGAACTAAAAGGACACCCTAATCCCAACTTCGAACCAAAAAAATTATAAGTTTCACATAATTGTTAAAGGAAAGAACAAAACCACCCAATCCCAAATACTAAATGCACTGAAAGAAAAATACAATAGAGCCATGTGTAATAATGGTCATAAAAACAAATGCTTGCTCATTGAAACTACTAGCTGAGGGCAATAATAGGGTATGAAGGCAAACAGCATGTTAAAGAAGTGGATAAGAGATCTTTATGCCTAATTTGTTCAATGATGTCACTAACCTCCTCTCATGCCTCTCCAGCAACAGAGTTACAGAACCATGCAGCATGAAGGTAATTGAAACTCCTTATGAAAAGCAAAATTTCAGGCTGATGTCTAGATTTCTAGTCTTGAGGTCCTTTTATGAATCTTACTTATCAATCGACCAAAAAAAAAAAAAGTGTTTAAATTTCTAGTCCACGTTACAGCTGCCAATTCTCTACGTCCCACCACAAAATTATGCCACAGGTATCTTAAACTGCATTTAATTACCTAAAACTGGTTATGACAATCATGACATTACAAAACTTTGTAGTTTGCAAGTTGAATCTCAGAAACTATAAGATCTCTCAATATTCTATTTAGTTCTCAACAAAGCACAAAAATGTAACCCCTTTTTCAATTATAAATATCATCTTTTTTTTGCCTTTCCAAGACACTTCTTTTGTCCTGTCCTGAAGGTGACCAACCTCTCCTCCTTCAAGTCACGGATTACATGCTTTGAGTCCTTCGACCACAAGCGCTTTATCTCGTGTGTGGGAATCTTAGGTGTCTTACTCATGAGTATTGAAAAGAAAGTATGCTTTCTATCTTATAGGATTAGCTTGTGAGAGCTTCCAACACATCATGTTACGAAAAGGTAACAGGGAGTCACTTCTCTTCGATCCCAAGAATTAAACAAGAATTAGATTATATCCCATTAATGAGCATCAGAAAAAGGGATGCCTCTGAAATGCATCACTCAACATATTTGGTCCTCCACCCCAAGATCCATTCAATAAGATATAGCCATATGCATTCTTTGTACCTATATTGCCCGACGCCCCAGATCTCACTCCATTTCATATAATTAAGATTTACGTTAATAAACTATTACCATTACATGTACAAAGGCACTCCAACAGTAAGACACGAAACACAAAACTAACTCGTATCACTGCACCGGCACACCCAAAGAATAAAATCAATACGATAAAAGTACAATGCAATTCTTTCTTTTTTTATTTATAAGTAAAAGTTCATTGAAGGCACTCAAAAGGGGAGCCCTCCCAAAGAACAACAAGCCGCCTAAACAGCGACACTACATCTTTAAGCTATCCACAAAATCCAAAAGACTATCCATAGATATACAATTTCGACAATTAACCCAAAAGAATAAAGAAGACAGTATATATATATATATATATATATATATATATATATATATTTTTGATAAGTAATAAAGAAGACAGTATATTATATTTGAGAGACCAAATAGGAGACTCCACCCCTTCAAAGGATCTCCTATTTCTCTCAAGCCACAAACCCCACCAAATGCAAAGGGGGGGTGGCCCTCCAAGCATCTCTAACATGGCTGTCCGCTATATACCATTTCCAAACCTCTAAAAAATCAACTGTTGACTGAGGAAACACCCAAGCCACACCAAAACAACCAAGAACATAGCCCAAATATCCCTTACCACAGGGCAGTGAAGCAAAAGGTGATTCACAGATTCCCCCGATCACTTACACATGCAACACCAGTTCACCACAACCAGACGTCTCCTTCTGAGGTTGTCGAGAGTGAGGATACTCCCAAGGGCAGCAGACCATGCAAAAAAAGCCACCTTCAAAGGCGCTTTTGTCTTCCAAACGGCTCTCCAAGGGAAAGAGGGGCCAGGGATCTCCATAAGACTTTGATAAAAGGATCTAACCTCAAACTCCCTTCTCAAGGATCAATCCCACACCACTCCATATGGTATTTTTTTTTATAAGTAACACCACTCCATATGGTATTTCAAACTAACCTTTACAAAGCTAATCTCATGATTGATTTCTCCCAGCAACCACTGCCAATAAAATAAATAAGTTCTCTCCGTGTTAAATTTGTAACTAATTAAAAAGAGAGAAGAAAAAAAGATAATCTAGCACATTTGTTCCTTCCTCAAACTACTAAGCCGCAATTACCGTGCATTACTTTGTCATCCTTCGCAAAGACATCAAGGCTACCTCCTTTGACTAAATATTGAATTCTTATCACACAATTCATTTTTTAAAAAATTTCAGATGATCAGACCATCGATCTTTATTGTCTTAAAGTTTGAAAATTCGTCAATTTTTGGAGAGCCTGATATGAAATCAGTTTATTCGCAATGGATTTTGAACTAACCTACCAATGCTAGTCTACTCCTTTAGTATCTCCCAACCCTAATCTTAGTATTCCATATGTTAATTGGAAAAAGTATAACTTGGAAAATTATTTCCTTCCTCGAGCCAAAAAAAAACACCCTCGATTACCATACATCACCTTGTCCTCTTTTGCAAGACAACAAAGCATCCCCTCCTTATGACTAAATCCTAGAATCCTTATAAAATAATTCATCCTTGAAAATCGGCCAACACTTGAGAGAACCCTAGTCAGTCAATCCTCCATTCGTTCGACCGAATACTTCTGGTTATCAGACCATCAAACTTGCAAGAAACTTGGCCTTGGGTTTATCATCAATGCAAATCGGCATATTACAGGCTGCAGGATCAAGATATATGCCATAATTCAGTCAAACTAACACATCATCTTGCAAATTTCAAGACAAAGCGTGAGACTGCTTGAATTACAAATTCCAAAATTTACTCCCTGGAGCTCCAATACGAGATTTTTTCTTTTGCATGAGAAAGGCTTCCTAAAAGATAGAAATAATTTGGTCCGTGAGGAGCACATGAAATCTAAGGATGATGTGTGGTGATATTTTACAAGGATATATATAACAAACTAGAAAACGTGGACTGGAAATCGGTATGCAAGGCAGATTAATAAAATGATTGAGATAAATATTAGATTATGCGGATGAACCAAGCTATAATTATCTTAGAATCACTATCGAAGTGCAAATGAAGTAAAAGAAAAAAGGCAAATTACTCTTGACACCCCCTGAGCTTCTTCCTTATTACTCATGGATGAAATTTTTGAAAAATAACCCTGACACTCCTGTGAGAATTAGAGTTCGTTAGCTGTGTTAACAGTTGCAGTGAAGTTACCACCACACCCCCAATATATAATAAAACACACTTATGCATTAGTGCTGAAGTGAGCCACTAAAAGATGAAAAGAACAAAATACCCTCTTTATGATTACACTCTGACACAATCTCACCAAAACCAAGAACACGAATTACGCAGTCTTTGGAAGCGATTAGTGTTGACTATAAATACCTATCTGTTCTTATCAATAAATTTGACTACCCCAATATAATTAACTACTCGAAAGTCGACTATTCATCTAATAAAAAGAATGAAGTCACTCATGAAGCTCAAACTGCAACAGAACGTCAATGTCGTCTCTCAGATCCACTATTAAATCAAATATTCAATAAGCTTCAGCTTTCCCTCCTTCATTGTCTTTAAGGTTCCCTCTCTTTAGCATACCCATTTTGTCACCTGTCCGTCGTTTCTTCTTGTTCAGTTCTCTCACTATATGTATACATACATCTCTAAATACATACATACATCTTGGAAGTATATCCGGAAAGGATGGGATGAGTTCTCCAAACGGATCAAGTTCAAAGTTCGGAGTGGAAGTCATGTTTGCTTTTGAGAGGACCATTGGTGTGGGGATTTTGCTCTGGCTCGCAGGTTTCCTCGTATTTTCAGGATCTCAGTGAATAAGCATGCTATGGTTAAAGACCATTATCTGCTTGATAATGGTAGGGCATATCGGGATGTGCAATTCCGTAGAAATTTCAATGATTGGGAGATCTTGGAGGTTGCAGATTTTATGGGATTGATCTATAGGAAGGTGGTGGAGGGTGAGGGCATGGATGAGATGGTGTGGTTGGGCACCTCTGGAGGGGTGTTTGAGGTTAGGTCATTTTACCGCTGCCTTACAGAGCATTCATGCCCCATCTTCCCTTGGAAAGCTGTGTGGAAAACTAAGCTCCGTTGAAGGTGGCCTTTTTCACTTGGATTGTTGCCCTTGGAAGTATCCTCACTCTCGACAACCTTACAAGTAGGCGTCGTATAGTGGAGAATTGGTGCTGCATGTGCAAGTAGTCGGGAGAATTTGTGAACCATCTTTTGTTGCATTGCCCCATGGCAAGGTTCTTGGTCGTTTTTGGTGTGGATTGGGTCGTTTCAGGGTCTACAGTTGGTATGTTACAGGCTTGAAAAGGGTGTACAGTGGAGAGCCGAGAGTCAAAGATGCTTGGAGGGCCACTCCCCTTTGTAATTGGTGGGGGTTGTGGCGCGAGAGGAATAAGAGATCCTTTGAGGGCGAGGAGTCCCCTATTTGGTCTCTCAAGTTTAATATTCTGTCTTCCCTATTACTGTTAATTGGTGTTGTTTGTGTAAAAATGATGAGAGTTCGTGGATCACCTTCTTCTGCATTGCCCCGTGGCTCACGACTGTTGGAGCCTTATTTTTGGTTTGTTCGACATCCAATTGGGCATGCCTCGATCTGCGAGGGAATTGATTGATGTGTGGAGAGGATGCATCGTTGGGGCCCACGCCCGTGACTGTTGGAGGGCGACCCCTCTTTGCGTTTGGTGGTGCATTTGGAAGGAGCGGAATAGATCTTTTGAAGGGAAAGAATCTTCCATTGCAGCCTTGAAATATGTTATTATTTGTTCTCTTTTTAGTTGGGTGATGGGGAGAAATTGTATATCTTTAGAGAAAATCACTGATTTTTTTGGTTCTTTGAGTCCTTAGGACCAATTTCTTGGCTTTGGCCCCTATATAGCTTTTGGGATGCATTCCCCTTTTGAACACTTTCTAATATATCTTAACTTATCAAAAAAAAAAAAGTTTAATCTTCCATCTTCTCTCTTTTTTTGGGTTAATGGGCAGAATTGTATATCTGTGGATATTCTTTTGGACTTTGTAGATAGCTTGAAATTGTAGTGTCGCCTTGGGAGCCTTTTGTTTCTTCAGGTTCGCTGCCCTTCGAGCGCCTTTTATGAAGTTTACTTATAAAAATAAAAAAAATACATACATTCACACATTTATATTTCGATTTTTATCTTATTTTTGTTATTTATTGACTTGTTCATTTTGTCTCTAGATGTGCTCTCTCTCCCAAGTCTGGCTCATGCGTTCTCATTGATGGGAGTTCTAAATTGTCGAATAACAATCCATTAAGACTAGAAGCACAACAATCGATTTCGATTTGGAATCAAAGTCAAGATGATGTGCTCAAATTTTGAAATTGTAGTTCAACCCTAGTTCAAATTTGGAATTTTTGGATTTTGTTAGATTCTTGTGTGTATATATGCGAGTGTGTGTGTGTGTGTGTGTGTGTGTGTGTGTGTGTGTGTGTGTGTGCATATGTGGACAATGTGAGTTCGAAGTTTGGGATTTTCAGAATCAGAACTCAAAATTTTTGTTTTTTTCTTTGATAAGTTAAATTTTTTGTTTTTTGATAAGTAAAAATTCAATAAAGGCACTCAAATGAGAAACAATCCCAAAAGAAAACACAAAACACAAGCCGCGACGCTACAACTTTAAGCTATCCAAAAAATCCAAAAGACCATCCGTAGATATACAATTCCACCCATTTACCCAAAAAACAAAAAATTCAATATGTTGTATTTGAGAGACCAAATAGGAGACTCCTCCCCAACAAAGGATCTCCTATTTCTCTCGCTCCACAACCCCCACCATAAACATAGAGGAGTGGCCCTCTAAGCATCACGCACTCGGCTCTCCACTATACACCCTTTCCAAGCCTCAAGCAGGTTAACCGTTGACTCAGGAAACACCCAAGTCAATCCAAAAGCAACCAAGAACATATCCCAAATATCTCTCGTCACCCGGCAATGAAGCAAAAGATGGTTCACAGACTCCCCCGCTTTCTTACACATGCAACACCAGCTCACCACGACCTAGCATCTCCTTCTGAGGTTATCACAAGTGAGAATGCTTCCAAGAGCAGCGGTCCATGCGAAGAAAGCCACTTTCAAAGGGGCTTTCACCCTCCAAACAGCTCTCCAAGGAAAGGGTTGGCTAGGAGTCTCCATCAGATTCTGGTAAAAAGATCTAACCTCAAACACCCCTCTCAAGGAAGCCTCCCACACCATCTCATCCATTCCCACACCCTCCACCCCCTGGTAATACAACAATGCAAGGAAAGGTTGAGTTGAAGGGATGAGTTGAAAAAGTTTGGAGAGAGTTTTGATAGTAAGTATTATTTCTCCCTCTTGTGCTGCTCCATAATATACCCATGACCATGACAGAAACTATATAGAGAGATGCAGTGGAGGAGAGAATCAATTAGTGAAGCTCATAGAGAGAGACAAAAGGGATGAAGCAATATCGTCGGTCCAGCAATAGAAGGAAGAGAGGTTGAGAGAAGAAACAACAGAGCAATGTTGGAAGAGAGGAGATAATTCAAGGGATGTTGACCAAATTTTTTGAAAAACTTGTGTATGGGTAATAGGGAAGAACCTCAGGGGTGTCAGAGTAATTTTCCCCAAAAAAATGTTATATCACCAAGGAGTGGGAAAAGATAATGGGTTATCTGTTATCATAACTCAACCATTACTATAAAATAAACAATAACTCCTCACTATGCTCTTATAGGAGTATTTCATGCACTACATATTTTAAAAAAAAAAAAAAAAAATGTCTATCAAATTCAAACAAACATGCTAAGTTTTTTTTTTCCTCTCCCTCTCTCTCTCTCTCTCTCTCTCTCGATAAGAGATGGGATCGGTTGCTTGAAAGTAGGCGAAAAGGTTCAATTCAACTAGTAGAGTTGAATCCAAATTTTGTCTCCAAATTTTGTAACAAGATCCCTTTGAGACTCAAGTGAAACAGAAATCCATAAACCATCTTTCACCAACTAAAAAGCCTACCGTATTTGAATGTTCTGGCCATGTGGCCATATACTTGCACAAAAAAAAAAAAAAAAAAAAAAAAAAATCCCTATTCTAAAAAATAAATATAATTTGACAACAACGACAACTTGCATTCAAATTATTCTGATTTTTTACTTTTGTTGAGTCACTTGAATTATTTCTTATACTTTAAAACCACTTTTTCTTATTACTTATAAAAAAAAAAAAAATTATCATCAATTATGTGTAATTAAATAATCATCAACACAAAAATCAACATCCTAATATCACTTTCTCCATCGTAAATAAAGCATGTCTTATACTTTAATGAACAAACTGTATTTTTCTAACCACAAAGAATTTTTTATTACAAAGGTTAATCAAATGTTTAACATCAACAAGGAATAATGTAGTTAACTGAGTTGACAAGTAAATTCAACAAAAAAGGTAACATGAGCATTTTTGAGTTAAGAAACCCAAAACTAGTAGTGTAGCGCATGATAGTTCTTCAAAGTAAGCTTCAAATCATCATCACATGTGATTATTAGAATATCACACACCATAAAAGAGCACAAAACATACAAGGAACACATAAGGTTATCCTACATCAATATCCATAAACATTTCACCATCTCAAAAAGAGTCCCTGTCAATTCTGTGTCGATTATCTAAAAATGAAAAAGTCATCCAGTGTTGTTATGCTTACTATATACACAGTCTTAGGTTGATCAAACAACCATCATTGCCAAATGAAAAATGCAAAGTCCAACCTTTTCCAGCAGAATATCCAGGTCTAAGATTCCCAATTCAAATAGCTAAGAAAAGGGTAGGTTTTGTTGACTTATAGTAGTATATTCTAGATTTTTCTGTTCTAGCAAAAACAAGTGAAAAGGAATCAGAACCCTAGGAATCAAACCTGCTGAAGTAAGGCAATCCTCTGGTTCGTGGCGGCCATAACCACAGCACAAAATGGATACCTTGACGCCTTCAAGCTGTTACTCATCTTAAACCCCTCGCTAGCGCGGATGCTCCCACCCCACGCAACAAAATTTTCATTCACAAACGCAGCCAATGCTTCAGAACACAGAGTCCTTTCACAAAACAATGGGGTGTCCGGGTGATCCGGCGAGTGCAAGTACACAAACAACAGCTTAAATTCGTGCCGAGACCTCTGCAGAGCATCCATAAACCCCTCAACCACGAAATTCGGCCGATTCGTACCGTAATCCCTCTCGAAATTAGCAACAAAAGCCATGGCCTCCGAAGCTGCCGCCGAAACCGAAACCAACGGAGAAGAAGAAGAAGGATCGCCGTTACGGGCAGAATTGAATCCCACCATGCTCAAAGAATAGGAGAGGACACCGCCGGCAGCCCACATACCTAGCCCAATCGCACCAGAAATTAACCCTAGACTACCAGAAATGACGGAAAATGGTAGGGTGATGAGCTTCCATGCCAATCCCGGTGGCGCCACAACACCGGCGACTTCGCCCGATCGCTGGGGTTGTTGATGCGAATCTGTATTGGACTGTTCGCTGCTTCCAACGTCGGCGATGGCGGTTGCGGGATCGTCGGAGTGGTCGGAGTTTGTGCCGGTGAAACTGGAGATCGCTAGCTCGAGGTCCCAGCCATGAGCGGAGAGGATCTCTGTGCACAAATCGGGGTCTTCAAGGCCCGTGATTGCTTGAAAATAAGCTAATTTGTCGGCCACATCAACCATATCTCTCCTTATATGTATATATATCTATGATTCTATATGTCCAAAAAAGTTTTTGAGAGAGAATTCGAAAAGTTAGGGTTCCAGAGAACTCAAAAAGGATCGAAGAGAGTGTCTCTTTGTGTTTCTTCAAATGTCTCAACCAACAATCAGAGGAAGTTCTGGGGTTTATGGCGTGGACGACAGATGATGATCGAACGATTAGTTTGGATTACCAAAAATGTCCAATGACAATATTGTAAATAACGAGATTGCCATGCTATGCCCATCTCTTTTTCCACGAATGAGAACTAATATTCACGAATATTTGAGAGATCTACGAAGCTCTCCCAAATTTGTTATATTAGCATTTTCCAAGAGATTCGTCAATATTTTTATAGTCAACTTTAGCATTAACATTTTGGAGTAAAAAATAAAATATTTAGTATGAATTATAAGAATTAAAACAATACTATATTTATTATGAATTTAAAATATATATATATATGAGTTTATTTATAAAAATATGTTTTTGTGCCAGTATAGTCGTTAAGGCATTTTTAGATTAGCCAAACATAGTGTGATTGAAAAAAAAAAAAAATCACTTTCTTCATTTATTTAAATTTTTTTGCTTAAAAAAACTTTTAAGACACTGTTCGTGTAAGTCAAATAGTGCCTTAATGACTCTTTAGTTCAGTTATATTGAAAAAATAAATAAATAAATAAATAAAATTAGTTTCTGTAATTTTTTCCAAGCCAAACGCGCCCTTAAAATTAAGTCTGAGTTACAGTAAAACTGGGGCTACGATACTCTAGGCCATTAAAGTTTTAAAAAAAAAAATAGGTGAACCCGTGCAAGGCAAACCTGCAATCGCTAACAGGGCAGTCGTTTTTGGCGACCCATTCTCCGACCCAAAATTTTTGAGTCCACTTTTTAGAGGCATTGCCAATTTTAACCCAAAGTCTCTAAAATCACTATCATTGAACCTGCTCTAAAGGGCTAAACAACAATCCAACCGTTTCAAGAAAAAAAATTAAATGTCACGTTGTCTTAGATTCACAAATTATTGAAGGATGGTCAAATTGTAATGGATCATTAAAAAAAAATGTGATACATCAGCTTGATTCGTAGTTTTCTTGAAATGTCACGTTTTCTTAGAACTATTTCCATTTTGTTTATGAGCACTTTAAGGAGAAAATGACATACAATTCGTTTAATAATGACTGCCGAATAGTTTGGATTGTTGAAACCATGGGTTGTTAATTTTTTTAAAGACCAAAAAATCCATTTTAACTTGCAAATATTTATTTGGATAAGATCAACCATCAATATTTGTCAACTCTACTCGCGACAAGTCGGTTTTGAACTGCATTCCATGGTTAAAATTGCATTTTTTACTTTTACGTCATGTAGGAAACTATTGAATATTTCGGCACTTGGTTAAAAAAAGTCTAAACAAACTTGAATTGAGCTAATTTTGGTAGGCTTTGTTGCGAACAATGGGATGTTTTGATGTTAGTTGTTGTGGCAGAAACCCTAAAAAATGATTTCTATTGTGCCGCGAAATTCCCGCCGACCCGCTCTAAGACACCCCTGCAGCAGAGGGAAGTCACAAACTATTGCCTGAATATCATGAACTTAAGATTAAATTTGTTATAAAATCAATGTTATTTGAGGTTTTCAAAGCTTTGAGTGATTAACTTAGCTTAAAAGTCCTTTCCCAAAAAGCACTGTCCTTCCCACCTCCTCAGCACGGGACCAAGTATACATTGATAAAGCTATGCCTCTCCGGCCAGAATCTCGTTGTACACACAAATTTTGTAAGTCTGCAATAGAAACAAAATATGAAGCAAAATAAAATTTTATTAATTTATGAATGTGGAGTACAGTCCTTTGTAATATCTTTTACAAAAAAAGAATGGTCATCTGATTCGATCTCCTTGTTTTTGGTTGGTTGGATCCAAGGGCTGCACGAGCTTGTTCTTGAATCACTGTGGAATTTGATGAAGAACGGCACGTTGTTGGATGTGCTTGATGTTCTTCGCTTTTGGGTTTCGATTCTGAATTTGTGTCTGAATTCTGAGTCTCAGAAATCCACGTTGTTGGATGTGCTTGATGTTCTTCGCTGAATTCTGAGTTTCTGGATTTCTGAGCTTCTGAATTTGTGTCTGAATTTGTAAACTTCTAAATTCTGAATTTGTAGACTTCTGAATTCTGAATCCTCTCCCCTTTTTTCTTCCTCCAAGCCTTTATTTATAGGCTTCTTGGATTAATAGGATGATTACACGTGTCATCTCCTGATAAGGATAAAACTATAACTGGGCCGGGTCGGTTATATTGTGATAATTATCCTTAAAGATAATTATTCAAAATATATTTTATTAGGAATAATTATCGTTTCATTTAATTATCTGGGCTGGACTAATTAAATAATTTAAGTGGAACAAATCTGGTAAATTAAATAATTTATTTAAACATTAGGCCTATATTTAATGGGTCCATTCGTTAAAACCAAAGCCCACTAAATTTTAGTGTCTACAAATTGCCCCCACTTCAAGTCCCAATTTTGACAAGACTTGTCTCTTTTTCCAAGTGGGACTTGAAGTTTCTTTTTTTTTTTTTTTTCATCTTTATTGTACTTTCCTATTTAAATTGAATTGTCCAAATCCCAATACAACTTGAATGTATCTTGTTGCCTATATATACCCTCAATATTGTAGGGTTTGATATCAATTCCAAAAATCTCTGAAGACTTGTCAGATCACAAATAATTGGTACGTGTATTTTTTTTTTTTTTTTCTTCTCTCTCTCTCTCTCCACGCATGTAGGAGAACAATTTTTTTTTTTTTTTTTTTTTTTTTTCTCTCTCCACGCATGCAGGAGAACATATTTTTTTTTTTTTTTTTTTTTTTCTCTAACCCTTTTTTTTTTCTTTGCAGGGCTTGATTGGGTATAACAACTTGATTTGTGTCAACCGTAGCAGAAATTGAATCCTCCTTTTAGACAACACCGATTTGAGCTTTGTTATCCATCATGGTGGTGTTCAAGTGTTTCGCAAAGCAAAAGCTGACTATCTTAGAGAGCAAAAATAGTCAACGAGTCCAAGGAACGACATTAAGTGTATATGACTCATTTTTTGGTCGCAATGCTATTCAAGTGCCTGATTCTAACAATAAACATTGTTCATCTCATTGGACATGCACGGCCACATGCGAACTCACCGACTTTGGTCCTGATCAGATTAATGAAGAATCTATTATCTCTAAAGTCTTGATACTAAATTCTTCACTTCATGAGAGAGTTGTTGAAGAAAACCAGTTTTCACTATTGGGTCTTAATGTTCAGGCGAAGGAAATATCATGGAGTATTCCCTATAAACTTCCTGCTGAATTGTTATACACCGAACTATATTGGGAGTGGTTAGAAGATGTCTTAGCGCGTTTCCCCGACTTTCTATCAAAACAACAATTATATGGTGCTTTATTCACCTCCCTATTTTCCTATGATCGTCATGAAGATGTATTCAAAGCATTCCTTGAATGTTGGTGCCCAGCCACTAATACACTTCATTGTTCTATTGGCGAGCTATCAATTTCTCTTCGAGATCTATATATGCTAGGTGGTCTCCCTCACCAAGGAACAATTTATGATAAAGTTATTCCTTGTGCAGATGAACTATCAAGAGCTGGCAACAACAAAAATTCTATCCCTTTGAGTTGTTAACACCTATTTTTGGCCTTCCACAGACTTTCCAAGAAGTATAAAGGAGATCAGAATGTGAAGATATCTGACTGGATTAATTTCTGGTTTAAAGGTGCATCAAGACATGCCAAACCTTCAAAGAAATCAACAAAAAATAAAGTTCACCGCCCTATGAGGACTCAAAATCCGTCTGGTGTGATCCCTCCTGTCCGGTCGATGTCCACCAAAGAGAAAGAAGTATTTATCAACCTTGGTGTAGATGAAACATCGAGAGACACCACTTATCTAGCTGCTTTTTTAGCATGTTGGCTCTGCAAATTTGCCTTACCTGCATACCCTGGCAACATAATTCGTCCTGGGACTTTCAAGGTCGCAAGCATGTTAGCAGACAGCTGCAACATTTGTCTTTCCATCCTGGTTCTGGCCAGTATTTACAGAGGATTGAACGAGATTGTTTCCTCACCAGATCCTGGAAGCTGCTCTGCGATATTTCCTATTCACTATGTATTCGGATGGTTGAGTGAATATTTCAGAACTAATTTCACCATTCCTAATACCAACTATTGGCCTAGAATGACATTATATGTAGGCGAAGGAGGAGCAAGATACTTTGACCATTTTGAAGCCCAAAATTTATTCAGATCATGTAAAGGAATAAACTTAACTCGAATAGCTAAAAGATCTTCAAAAGAGCGACTTATTGTAGATAATGGCGAGATGATAAAGGCTGACTTTGACACCCTAATCAATCTTCGATTATGTTATTTGACATTGCGCCAAAATGACCGTCTTATCATTGAGCCATATAGTCCACACAGATTTAGCCGACAATTTGGGTACCATCAAGATATTCCTGGAAAATTAAAAAATGACTTTCGTACTTGCACCTTAGAGGAATTTTTAAAGCATTGGAACTCATCCGTTCATTATTCTTCTGGTTGTGATGCGTTGCTTCCTTCAACCTTCAGCCACCAAAAATCCTCAGTTACCAGAGCATATGCCAAATGGTGGTCCAGCGTATATATTGATCCATTTACATAGAAAAAAAACTACCTCAAAGCAATCTAAACGCACGATTTCCCCACCAGAGAAACCAACTAAAATCAAGAAGGTTTTAATTAAGGGGCTGAAGTCAAATCTCCCATCTAAGCTAGTGCCAAAGTTAACCATCAAATCTCATAATAATTGTGACGTTGTTGGAGGATCTAGTAGCCATCACCAAACAGCAGAAGATGTCCCACCACTAATCAATAACCGTCGCCGTCGTCAGTTGTCAATGGAGTTAGATGAGGATGTGAAAGCTTATGATGAGGATCGTAACTGGAAGCATGTCACCGACAAAGTGAGACTTGATTCAGTACAGGAATGTGTTGCCACTTTTCTTGATCAATTTTTTTACTGGGGTACCTAGTAGTTCACAACCTATACAGGTAACTGTTATTATATATATATATATATATATATATATATATATATATATATATTTTGTACTGCA